CCAAGGATGCGAACCAGCACCCATGTGGATGGTGGCATTACAGATCAGAGCATTAGCCTGCCCAACCCCATCCCTTTATGATTGAAAGGAACAGTTAATAAATGAGGTTTAAAAAACCTGATAAAGTGTATCTAGGGTAAGTCTTATGTACTTGCTTTATTATGCTAGCTAATTCAAGTGATTATATAGAGATTTTTCCTCTGAGATCAAGAATGATTTATATTTAGTATTTTAAAGTTCTCATTTGCTCTCTAAGAAAATAAAAAGAAATAAAATATTTCAAAGGAAAACACCATGCTATTATTTGTAGATGATGTTGAGTGTGTACTTAGAAAATCCAAAGGAATCTGCAGACAGCTATTACAACTAGTAACAGATTTTTAGTACATTTGCTAAGTACAAACTCAACCTGAAAATAGCACTTACGTTGTATAGATCAGCAGCTGCCATTTAGGAAGTGAATTTTTTAAATGCATTTTGTAATAAAAAATAATAAGAAAAACTTGATGATCTGACAAGTTATACATCATGACTACAAGGAAAATACATAAAATGTCTGTAGAGACATTAAGGAAGATTTACAATAAAGAACTATCGCATATCCACAGATTGTAAAGATTTTTGCTAACTACAATACAATTTTAGTCAGAATCGTAAAATATGGAACTTGAATAGCCAATTCCAAACTTTTTATAAAATGTGTCTAAAGTATATACAAGACATTCTTGAAGAACAAGATGAAGTCTACCAAGAACCCAGAAACATAATGAGACTCAGACAGTAAGCAGTGTGTGCTCCTGGCACAAAGTTAGCAGTGTAGGCCAGTGGGGAGAGGAGTCCTGACACACATCCACTAGTATACACAGGATTTACAGCAGCAGTCACTGCAGAAAAGCATGCAGTTAATAGAGCTGGGACAATTGGGTTTCCATATGGATAAAAATTAAATTGGACCCATACTTCACACCATACGTGGAAATCAGTTTTAGCTAAATGTGAAAGCCAAAAGCATCAGGCTTTTCTAGCTGTTATTGCAGAATATCAGCTGCCAAGGAGACTGCAGTGACTATTACCTGCAGCCTGCCTGGCTTCATTTTCCGCAGCTCCAGGTGGGACTAACCAACCAGAACCCAGCTAAAGCTGAGAAGTCAACTTTGTCATTGTCTTTGCTGCCCCCTCAGCAGCTGCCAAGAAACCTGCTCTTCATCCCAGAGGGACAGCACTTCCTGTGCAATGAGGAAGGTACTTCTTCCCTAGCGCTTTATTGGGCAGGCCTCAGCAGGGCAGAAAGAAACCCTTCTTCTCCTCTTAGTACCAGACATTGCTTTGTATAAATCCACCCGTTTGAATTCTAGCATAACAAATAAGGCTCGTGATGTTGGAAGAATACCAAGAATAAAAGACTAATTATATTGGAATTTCCTAAGAGATAGGGGAAGAATTCTGATTTTGAAGGTATAAATCAATGTTTGTCACAGCACTCCAAGTGCTGAAATATTTTATCATTTCTACCTCTCACTCAAGCATCCTGCTGGGTATCCAAGTGAAATATCATATTCTTAAGTCAGACTGTTAACATTAAACATGCATGAAGTATTTTGTCTTTTATCTCCGGATACCTAAGGTGACTGCTTTCCAAAACAGAAGAGGGAGTATTTGATGAATTCTGTGATAGTTTCAGAGTTTCTCTTGATTCACTTCTTCACTATTTGATATTGTCAGACTTCTTATTCTTTTGCCAGTCCAAAGGGTATATACCTTATCTGTAAGAGTGACACCAGTCACATTGGCTTTGACCCATGGATGGCAATCCTGGAGAGTGTCTTTGAACAAAACTCAAACATGAGCAGGTGGCATATACCCTGTATTTGGAAGTCAAGTTCAGGGAGGTTTGTGTTTCACAGCTTTTGGGGCACTGAAAGTCATTAAGTGAATTGTCCCAGACTTCCTGCAGTTTAAGATAAGCTGTAATTCCATGCTTGTGCTATACGGCTTGCTTGCCCAGTGTTCTCAGTAGTTACTGCTGAATCAGCAATCTTTTTCCTTTGTTAAGCTAGAAAAGTGTATCGGAAAAGTGCTGGGACTCCACTGCTGATCCCATTCTTGGTCTGTGCATGACAGATTTCACGCCAAAATGATTTCCAGAAGGGCCGATTCCTGGCTTTTCTTGTGCAGTCAGACTTCATGTAGGTCTTCTAGCTTATGCTATGTCTAGAACAGACACATTTCACCAACAAAAATCAGCAGAAGCTGTGTCTCATGGGTTTTGATGTTTTTGTTTTTGTTACTTTCATCTCTTCAAAACAGTTTCTTCTTTTTAAATGATTCAGTGACTCATAGATCATACAGTAGCACCATTTTCTTCAAGAAGGTTCTTGATTTTCTTTTTTATTTCTTCAGCGACACATTAATCATTCAGTAGCATGTTATTTAACTTCATGGTTTTCTTCCTGCAATATATGTTAATAACCAGTCCAAACATTTCCAAATAACACTATCATTATGATAATACAATCATCTTAAATACTCCTGCCTGTTCTTTACACTGTTCTCATAATTTCACTTCAGTATATCATATACATAAGATGTGTATGTGTGTACATAAGAAAAACATTGTTGTTATTGTTTTGAATGTAATTTACCTGTTAGATCATTTATGAATATAAAAATAATATTTTAATTTAGTCATTCTTCAATGATCTTTTCTTCATGAAAATATGAGTTTATGACCTATATCCAGATATCTACCAATGGAGAAATGGATAAATAAAATATAGTCTACTGTCCATTACAATGCTGTTAGGATTTTTCAAATAGAAATTTTGTCAATTTCAGCATTCATAGAACTAGAGAACTGTATGCTCGGTGAAGTAAATCGAGCACAAAAAGGCCAATGCCGTAAGTTCTCTCTTATGTGTGTGATCTAAAACAAGTACCAGAGTAAAACAGCCGTACCAAGACTGAGTGAGAGGGATGTGCAGAAAATGGAAAGATGTCAGACAACAGAAAGCCTCAGTTATACTGAGGGAATAAGTATTTCTCCTCCCCTGGATTATATTGCTTTTAATGGAGAACATAGTTAACATTAGGGTGTTGTACATTTAACAGTCCCTGAGGAGTAAATTTCAGATGTTCCCACAAAAAGAAGTTCTTTGAGGTTGATTAGGCTGATCTAATTATTCTGACCTCATTTCTAAGTCATGTCATTTTAGATCCCATAAATATACACAACTATAATGGACAAGCTTAATAATTCAGAATTTTAAAAGCAAAATTCTATAATTTATGACATCAATAAGCTAAAGCAAAAAAATCACATTATCCTATCAGTATATGCAAAAAAAAGCATTTGGCAAAACCCATTCATGATTTTTTAAATAAACTCTTCAGGATTTTAGTACTAGTTGATGTTTAAACCTAGTTTGTTTCTGTCTTTATTCTCATCTATTCTAGTAGACTAGAAATAGAAGAAACATTATCAACTTCATAAGCACCCTTAAAAAAATAAAAAAGAAGGGCCCAGCACGGTGGCTCAGCAGCTTAAGTCCTCACCTTGTACACACCAGGATCCCATATGGGTGCCTGTTCTAATCCCAGGAGCCCCACTTTCCATCCAGCTCCCTGCTTGTGGCCTGAGAAAGCAGTTAAGGGTCCAGCGCCATGGCAGAGTAGGAGGCTAAGCCTGAGCCTTTGGCACAGTGGCCCAATGCCTTGGGTCCCTGTGTCCCCATGTGGGAGACCTGGAAGACGTTCCTGGCTCCTGCTGTTGCAGCCATTTAGGGAGTAAACCAGTGAATGGAGGCACTCTCTGTGTCCTTCTCTCTATAACTCTGCCTTTCAAACAAACAAACAAAAAAAATTATTTTTCTCTTTCTTTCTCTCTTTCTTCCTCCTCTGTGTGTGTCTGTGTATATGTGCTATAACTTTCAAATCAATCAGTAAAATGAAACCCAAGAAAAAGCAGCTACATCAAGGTTGTAGGATACAAGCTTAACATACAAAAGTCAGCAATTTCCTTATTTACCAGTAATAAAGATGTGAAATATGAAGGTCCAAACTTAGTAGTATTTGTGCCTGGCACAGTTGCCTAGTGGCTGAAATCCCCACCTTGCATGTGCCGGGATCCCAAATAGGTGCTGATACGTGTCCCGGTCGCCCCCACTTCCCATCCAGCTCCCTGCTTGTGGCCTGAGAAGGCAGTAAAGGACGGCCCAAAGCCTTGGGACCCTGGACCTGCATGGGAGACCCAAAAGAGGCTCCAGGCTCCTGGCTTCAGATCGGCGCATCTCTGGCTTTGCAGCCACTTGGGCAATGAATCATTGGATGGAAGATCTTCCTTTCTGTCTCTCCTCCTCTGTATATCTGCCTTTCCAATAAAAATAAATAAATAAATCTTTAAAAATAGAGAATAGCAGTATTTATATTAGCACCCACTGTCCAAAATAAAATGCTTAGGTACAGATGTAAAAATATATATAAGAGCACTATACAAGGGAAAACTATAAACTTCCAATGAACAAAATCGAGGAAGAACTAAGTAAGTGCAGAGATAGTCTGTGCTTGGGTTTAGAAAGACAAGGTGTTGCTAAGATCTAAGAGCCAACGCCATACTTGATTTTCTCAGTTGGAGTGCTACCCATTTCCTCGCCTTTTTCTGGACATCTCTGAGGTGCCATGGTATCAGGTGCCTGATGGGAGTAGCTAAAGATCATTGCAAGACCATTTTGGCCAGCACCAGCTCTAAGCAGTTTTGCTAAGTGGGGTGTAGAGGAAGGCAGATGAGGCTGCTATAGATCTCCGCCCCCCTCATTGGCTTCCTGCTTGCCTGCATCAAGGGGGTCTCGTTTCCTGTAGAGATTCTCATGGGCTCCAAGAGGGTAGTAGGTGAAGGTTTTTCCCAGTCTGAGCAGAGTTCTAGCCATATTCTGAAGTCTAGTCATTTTTTTCAGTGTTCTGTAAAGGAATAAATAAGGTAATCTAACTCTGTTTCTTTCTTGCAGGTAATCCGTGCCTTTCTGCTTTTTCCAACAATTGAGCGAATGTCTGAGTCACCCAATGGCAGGATCGCCACTCCACTTTTGTGCTGGTTTCGATATGCTCTCTATGTTATTAGCTACTTATTACTTAAACCATGTCCTGAGACAATCAAGTCCATGGTATGCAGAATGAGCCTTCAAGCAATGAACGTGAAAAATGAATTTGTACAGATGAATATGTTAGAACCATTCTGCATTGGTAAGCACATTTTAAATGATTTTTAAATATATACATTTGTTTTTGTATCAAAATATTTACAGAATAATCTCAAGCAGCAGATAAATATAAAACAGGTAATTATTTGTTTTCATCACTGGAAAAAAATTTTTTTTTTAATTTTTACTTATTTATTTAAGAGGCAGACAGAAAAACAGAATTCACATCTGATAATTCACTCCTCGGAAGGCCTGCAGCAATGAAGGCTGAGCCAGGCTGAAGCCAGGAGCCTGGAATGCAACCCAGGTTTCCCATCTGGGAGACAGGGACCCGATCACTGGACCCACCACCTGCTGCCTCTCAGTGAGCACCGAAGCAGAACGCTGCATCGGAAGCATAGCCAAGACTCAAGCCTAAGCTCTGATGTAGGGCGTGGGCATCGCAGCCTGCAGCTGAACCAGGTTGAATGCCCACACCACCCAAAAAGCAAAGAGTTTAAGATGAGAAAGAATAAAAATTTTAAATAAAGGGGAGGAATTTGTTCTGCATAGATAAGAGAGAGAGAGAAAGCTTATCAAGCTGATATTTTACCTAATGCTTCCAGTTCTCCCTTCTAGCTTCAGGATGGTGAGAAATGCTTCTCCTTTGCATAGGACACAGCATGGATGGGGGCCTCACCAGAATCAAGGTGCCACTTGGTCAGTGTTTTTGCGAAATTCAGCCCAGGGAAACCAGAGCCATTGTGTCTGTGTAGACTGCTTTTATTTTCTTCCTTTAAGTATTGGGAAGGGGTGTTATAAAAGCAAGCATCACTGTGGCGAAATGGCAGTGTATTTTAATACTGGCTGCTTATGCCAGGGAATGTTTTTGCCACTTTACTTCTTGGCTCTACAAGGTGTTTTTAGATATAATATATTTTTATAATACCACTTTATTCTGTATTTATAAATGGCTTTTATAATAAAATAATCCTAGTTTCTTAGCCTAGAAAATTGGAATAAAATAATTCCCCATAAAGGAAAAGATTGTTCTAGGCTTGAATGCAGTTATAGAACTGTCAACCATGTGACAGTCTGTGTCTGTTATTATTGATACAGCAATATTAATTGCAGCCCCAGCTAGTGGCAGTGTTTCAAGTTTCAGATTCTTCAGAAGAAGTAAGATTTAGATATTGTTTCTGGATGTGTATCTCTGTAGGAGAACGGAAATACAAAGAAATGATGTGTGCAGTTACAGTGACAGTGGCTGATCAAATCAGTCTTCCACAATGTTAACTTTCTTCTGCCGTGCTGCTGTGATCCTTTTGCCCTACTTAAGGAGAGATCCAGGATTCAGGAATTAGGTTGTAGTAATTAACTGTAATAAAAATGCTGCATGATCAGGGGTATAGCAAAATCTAGGACTTTGTCATAACCCTGCCTGTTGAGGCTGCACAGCTTTGGGTTTTCTTAGTTTTTTCTCAATATGTAGTCACAAACAGACATCAGAGATAAGGCTCGGTATCTTTTCTGTTTGTGAATATTTTTCTGCATGCTGTCTCCACCTCCCACTGTCTGGTACAGATTTTGCGTAGCAGTAGAAAGGGATGAGATAAGGAGAGGAGAAGCAAGCCTGTGGACAGTCAGACGGCCACAGTGGTGGGAGGGGGAGTTGTTCTGCATCCTTCCTGCACAGTATCAGAAAGGAATGACTCAGGAGGTGAAAGCGACAGAAATCCTGATTCCCATTTCAGTTCTGCCCTGGACTTAGTCCGTGGCCTCGGTGTCATCACTTCCCCTCCTTGATTGCTGGTTGTTGATGAAATCACCAAGTTTTTTTTTCCACTTCTACCTCATCAAATGGATTTTGAAAACAAAACAAAACAAAAGCCAGTCTCCATTTAGGGATTTCTGCTTTTGGGAAGGTGGAGTGAATGTACTTTCCTGATTTCCCCTGCTACATACTGAAAATCCCATACCAAACAGACATAGAAGTTCTGGAGCAAGAGTATAGACCATAGACTGCTTAGCAACCTGGAGATCCAGGGAGCGACTTACAGTAAGTGCCCTCAGTTTCTTGTTGCCACATGTATCCTAGACGTGGCACTGGCAACCCAGAAACACACACGCAAGCCCACTATCTGTAACCAAAGCGCGCACACACACACACACACACACACGCAAGCCCACTATTTGTAACCAAAGCACACACACACACACACACACACACACACACACACACACACACACAAGCCCACTATCTGTAAACAAAGCGCGCACACACACACACACCCACACACACCCACTACCTGTAACCAAAGAGCCAGGAAAAGGGACAGCCTTTGTAGGGGAAGAAAAAAAAACTGTTTTCTATGCATCCTATGCATCCTTCACAGTGTTTATTTGGGGCAGATCCTGTAACAAAATGATTAAAAAGAGAAGAACATGAAACCATGTTCTCTTGTCGCTCACATGTACCTGGGTGATACCCATAGAAGTGAGTAAACCCCAGGATGGCTTCCAGGAAGAGTTGAGGCTTCAACAGTGACTTTATCCAAAACAAGGCAGAAAGAGTTTGGGCAGGCCAGTACTGCAAGGTAGAGAGGAAGAAAAAGGCAAACAGGGCAAGGTGTGTTTAGCAAATTTAAGTTGGTGTCTTCTGCATTACTGGTGTCTATTGATTGTAAAGCAGCCTGTTCCTCCTGGTACAGAAATAAAGGCAATATGGAGATTTCCTTTATAGATATGAATTTTCCTTACACAGGCAAATTCCTACTCTTTTAAACTTTTCCCTGTGTCTGCAGTTTTTTAAAATAAAAATTTAGCTTAAAATAACCCTTTGGCTAAAAAGAGGCATATTTTGAGGGTGGCATGTTTCAGACACCTGCACCCATATGCGGGTGTGCCATATTCTGATCTCCTGCACCTTATAAAATTGTTAGACAGTAGCTGCTCTACTCCTGCTGTATACCATAGTAAAAACTGTGGCCTCCTGTCCCCCGATCTGCAAAGGTCTCATAGTAAGTGGCATCTCACTCCTCCTAGCCAGCAGCAGATAATCGGGATTTTCACCTCAGCCCAGCAGCCATGGAGCTGCCACCCCTACCCTGTGCTGTCAGCGTGAGTTCTCGTGAAGAAGCAGCAAAGACTCACCCTGCTGGGCAGTGGAGAGATGTACCACCTTCTTCCAGATCAATGTCTTCAAAGAAAAAGAAAAAAAAACAAGAAATTTGAATAAGATCCAGAGTCTTATAATATCTTTTTTTTTTGTAGTTCATTTTTTTTTATTAATTTTATTGCATTATGTGACACAATGTTAAAGCACTGGGATTCCCCCCACCCTCCCCGAACCCTCTCCCCATGGTGGATTTCTCCACCTTGCTGCATTACCACAGTTCAAATTCAGTTGAGGTTCTTTCAATGGAAGTATTTACCAAGCATAAAGTCCAGCGTCTTATTATCCTAGTGGGTTCACAGAGTCTTATAATATCTGAAGTGTCCCATCCTTAGCTAATAATTGCTTGTCCAAGAAAATCTCAATTTCAGTGGAAAATAATAGATGCCAACACCAAAATGACAGATGCTACAATCGTCTGACAAAGTTTAAAGCAGCCATTATGAACATACTTCAGTAACAATTAATAAAAATGTTCAAAAATATTTACAAAACACATGCCTGTCAAAGAAGTGTTTCTGTAGAATGTACTATCTGCTCTTATACCTCAATACAGGCTGAATGTCCCTTGTCCTAAATGATTGGGCCAGAAGTACTTCAAACCTTAGAATATTTGCATTAGACTTTTCCCACTTTCCCAATCTAAAAATCTGAAAACTCAAATATTCCAAATTTGTAAACTTTCCAAGTTTCAGCATGGATTAGAGATGTTTAAGCTATAATAAAAAGCCACATCATCCAATTAGAAAATGGAATTAAACACTTGAACTTAAATAGACAATTTGTCAGGGAGTAGTAAGCTCAGGAAAAGGTGTTCTGTTCGATATGATTAACCATTATAAAATGCAAATGAAGATTAATCTCTGGGATTAATCTCCAGAGAATTAATTCTTAATGGGAAAAAAATCTCTGAAGGTTACATAGTGTATGATTGCATTTATAATGCATTCTTGAAATGATGAAAATACAGACCTGAAGAACAGATTAGTGGTTGCATGAATAGAAACTGGAAGTGGATGAGAAACTAAGAGCTAAAAATGAGAGATCCTTGCAGTGATGAAATTCTTACCTTCGTCAATGTCTAATTGGTAATATTATGCCCTAATTTTGCAGGATGCTACCATTAGGAGAACCTGGATAAAGGGTACAGGCAGTTGTCGCAGTGATGGATTTGCTGTTTTTGTCCAGTAGCCTCAAGCGCAGACAGCAGGGAGCCTGACAGATAGTCTTCCCTCTAGGAGCCTTTCAGCTACATTGTTGCTCCAGGAACCTTGGCTTTCTTTAGCCCAGAACCTTAAGTGTCTTACACTTTGTACAAAATAGACTATAAACCAGACTGAACATTCAGCCACATTTCTTTCCCAACAACCAACTTGGGTACAAGTTGGGAGCACAACCCTCTGGTTTCTAACATCGTGTCTTCTAATCCTGTGCCTCTAGAAAAGGCCTTCTAATATCTGTTAGCCATTACTTCGGGAGTCTCTGGTTTCTTCCCAATAGGCACTTAATCTTTGTAACTTTGGGTAAAGGGAAAGTAGGCAAGAATTACCTATATTCTTTCTTTCTTGGGGTTCTTCTTTCCTTACTTGGTGTTTAGTTCAGTCTCCTCGTAGTGACCTACCATATCCAGTAACCAAACATTTTCATTATCTTAGCTAGCCTCTTCCCACCTGCTTGGGATTTCCAAGGACACCCTGCCTCCTGCTGCAGCAGCCATCACAGATCTTTGCTCCGACTTTCCCTGGCTATCCCTGAGTCCTAGGCACATGCTTACTCTGCAGGAGATTCCAGCTGAGAGAGAACATCATGTCTCCTAATGTAAGACCTAACTTACAGGAGACCAGGGAGTTCTGTCAGAGGTCATGCCCCAAGAATGAGGGTAACCATAA